TTTACTTATTAATTGTAGACACAATTGTAGATCATTTAATAATTTCTTAGATGCAAAAACTAAAAATAGGGTGTTTTATTTAAATTTTTTAACTTATTTAACTTTTAACAAACTTTTTTTAACTTTTCGACTACAATACATTAAAAAAATGTTATAAGTAGTCTTAAAAATGTTTGTCTTTTTTTGCTTTTGATTAATAACAATTCATCAATTCTTAAGGGGTTGTACGTCAAGTATTTGTTAAGCAAACCATTGTAAATTATTACCAAAAATACCTTCTTTCAAATCTGTTACCAACTGACACAGTCTTACTGAATCACTTCGTAGTTTAGTTTTTTCACATTGTCCGTTAAAAAAAAAAATAGGTTTCATGTCTCTATATTTTTGTATAATAATATTAATATGTTTTTGTTCTGTACAGTTTTGGACAAAACATTTTAGACGATTTGTTATTCGACTGTCATAAAAATGTCAAAATTCAACCTCACTTTTGATTTTTGTAATTGTTGTTCTACTGACAGTTAGAGAAAGAATGGCAACAAATAAAAATAATTTATTGAAGTATATATTAAATAAAAGAAATAAAAGAAAATTACAGGTACCAAAAGAGTATTTTTTGTAGTTAGAGATGTAAAAACAAAAAAAAAAGAACTAGATAGGTGGAATTCTACTAATTTTGCTAATTGTTGTCTTCATATTTAATGTTTCAGGCGAATATTTAAAATTAATGAAATCCTACAATTTATAACATTTATAAGTTAAGTATCTATACAGGTTATAAGAGAATTTGTTTTAATTTTTTTTATATTAATACAGTTTTTTTTAATAGGAATTATTTTAATGCATTTTTATATTGTTTATTGGTTTTTTAATGTTTTTTGTTGAAACATTATTATGTTGTATTTATATTACCTCAACAAGATACGCCTATAGAAAGCAGATTTTTTTGTAGTTTAAGGATTTCTAGAGAATTTTGAAGCTACAATCTAGTGACAAGCGCTTGATTTCATCTGGCATCACTGTCATCGTTCACTCAATTGTGAAACTCATTCCTGACAATCTTAATGAGTAAAATTCACCATATGACGCTTTTACCAACTTAACATTTAAACAATATTTTTTTATAATATGTTCTTGTTCTCTATTCGCCGTCTTTTTGCAATTTTTTAATATCAGTTTTCAATACAGTTTTATAAATCTAATTTTTGCTTTTGTTTTATAAAATTTTCATATTTGTTTTAGTTTAGTGCTTAAAGAAAAACTTTAAATGTTTATTTTTATTAAATTATGGCTTTAAGGGTTTAAGAGTTACTTACTGTATTTTTTTATCGTTAACAGTTTAAAAATTTCTGTGTCCGGTTTGGTTTTTACAAATTGAAATATCTTGAAATTAAAAAAGTTTGATTTTTTGCAATAAGTAACAATTTTAATTAAGTATTAATTCCATTTAAAATATTTATTGTGTGGAAAGTAAAAAAAGTAAAAGAAACTCATGTTTAATTATGATTATTTAGTTTTATTGGCGTTATAAGTATGTATAGGTACAAAAACACACTAGTGTATATTTGGTTGCCTGCACAACGTTACTGCGCTCTCTACAAGGTTCATGACGTTATTACAGAAATCATTTTTGCCGTCTTTCCAACTGTCAATTTCCCCATTGAGTCACAAGATCAGTAAAGTCAGAGAAGTGGTACTAGTGCTAGGTAGAGTGTCTTTTCCCCGAATCAGTGCCTTTTGACGTAGTCCTCCACCGCGGAAATGTCGGACGAAGTAGCAGAAAACGGCCACTCTGAGGGCGACGTGCCCGAAATTGAGCTCATTATTCGCGTGAGTATCTCCGATATGGGGCGTGCCTAAATTTCGCCACCTACATTCTCTCGAAAAACTTTCTTTCACCGCAAAATGCCAGCGAAAAAACGCGACCTTGGGCCCGAAAATGGCGCCATTTTTCAATTTCCAGGCCTTTTGACACGGTTCCGGGCCGAGAATCGTGACCTGCCTGTGTGCAGGCTTACCCACATCCAGGTGCAAACATGTCACGGTCTTCCACTTGAATATGACTCACTTTGAGAGGATTTTTCAGCGAGGTTTCAAGAGGCCGAAACACCACCTGGGGCACTCCCGATTTGGAGTGCAAACAGACCTAATTAGCGCTTGTCGTGGGAATTTCTTTGTTGAATCATTTTTATTATAGTTTCGGGTTTGGTGGCACGAAAGCCCACTTCGGGGATTAAAAGACATGTAGGAGGTGTCCAAGTTATGATTAAAAATTGCTACCTCCGGGGTCAATTTTATTGACCTTGACCTCTAACACTGCAGTGGTACTCATTCGAGAAAATTACTATCCAAGGCTGTTGAAAGCAGCCTCCAGGATGTTAAAATTTCTTGTTTGAATATATTTTTAGATGTTAATTAGACGGTGTTATGTCATTTCGTTGCAGGACTACTTTTTTGATTAATATTTGCACTCAAAATAAAATGCACAACTTTCTTATTTTATGTAATTTTTGATATTTTAGAAATCCGGGACAGTTATTAACGAAAGTACTGTGACATTAATACCGCAATAAAAGTGTCAATTAAACTTGATTCGGATCGGATTTTAAATGTAGAAATCCTTTCTTTTGCAAATCTACCGATTACGAATTTTTTTCAGTACTTAACCATTCACAGAAGTGCGTGGATTATTTTATCAGAAAATAAACAAAGCTGAAGCGCATTTATGACAACAATATGTCATTGTAAATAAACCACAAAAGAGTACAGTTTGTCCTTAAAATAAGTACTCAACTGTTGTATAATAATTACGCAAAATTAAATATTTTCTGAAATTGTGATCATATGCACTGTTTTTGAGCAAATATTCAATCAACATAAACTACTAGTTAAAATTGAATAAAACGGCGTAATAAATAAGTTTTGATTTTATAAGACACCAATAAATAGTTTTATTCTCAAAATAATAGATCTGTCACCAAATGTATACAATTTGGTGACAAATTCTGGGAACAACTTATATTAATATTCTGAATTACAGATTTTATGTGACATTTTTTTATATTTAATCATGTACAGTTACGGAATTAAAATTTCGGGCAGTATTTTTCTGGCAAAAGTTCACTGTCATCATGACTGACATTTGACATTTAAACTTTTCTGCCAGTGACACTATTTTTTAAGTCAAAATTACATTAACATGACAAGAGTAAAAAATGAGGTTATTAATGTAAAGATTTTTTTAGAGTTTACATTGTGAAAATGACAATACTGCCCGAAATTTTAATTCCGCAACTGAACAATTTTTTCAAACTATCAAAATCAAAAAAATATAGCAAGAACCAACAGAGGTCAGCTTTTTCGTGGCAAATTGTGGATAATTTCTCTGTTGTAATCAATAATCATTTCTAAATAAAAGTAAACAAAATGAGATGTAGAAGTTTCTTTGTTTATGACGTTTTAGTTTTTTGAACGTTTAAAAAAACATTAAAAAGTTAGCAAAAAGCACTTGACTATTTTAGACAAAATGTGGAAGAAAAATAGTACATTAATAAAAAAAAAGAGTAAAAACTAAAAAAAAAAAACGATTCTTTGAAATGTCTTACAAATACAGTTGTTAAAAAAAATATTCATAAAAATTTCGAAGTTATGAGAGTTAAAATTTTGCACTTTGCCTCTATTTATTTTTGTTGGATAAATTTTTTTTTTAATTTTCTTGCTATAAGCTGTATCCAAAATTGTAACTCTGTTTAATGTTTTTTATGGCTTTTATTGCTAATTTTTTTGTGCTTTTATTAAATAATGACAAAAAAAAACATATACAAGATCGTTAAATAGACATAAAAAATGTCAAATGTCAAGATTTTTTGATAGAAGAATTTTTGAAACATTTTTCCATGGTATCTTATTTTACTTGAAATTTTTCTCTGGGGCGCGAGTTCTGACACACCCTGTATATACAATTTTCAAAACCTAATTATCGTAAATAATATTATTTATCAACATAATGCAAAAAGAGCAAATTCGTAAAAAAAATTTAATTTGTTAATATTTTGGAAAACAAGAAAAGTTAAAAAAAATTCATGGCGATTATGTTTGTTTATCTTGACATTGCAAATATCTGTTTTGACTTTCACCAGTGCCAACTGTGCCAAATACATTTAAAATAAAGCAAAACAATTGTGTCATTTTAGAGACTAGAAATACACCGAATTTCGAAATTTTCCTTGCAAAGCAAATAAACCAAATACATGATTTGATTTAAAAAACATTCACAATTTTGCCGCTTCCTTAAACAAACGAATCCGTAATTAAGCAAAACAATAATAAATTTGTAAATGAAGACAAATAAATTTAGGGTTTTTAAATTTCAACACCTGTCAAATATTGATTATCAAACTGTTGTTTTTTCTAATCTAATCTTTTTTTTAATATATTGATGACAGTACGTCTATAAAATAATACAATATCTTTATTTGAACACATCTCGAGATTAAAAAGTATGTTGAAATTCCTTTCTCGTACATTTTATTGTTTAACAACTTGACATAAACCTGAATCATAATGGTTGCGTTGTGAGTAAAAGAATGTTCAGAAAATGTCACTGATAAGTCACTTTTATTATTATTATTATTTCCGGACCATTTAATTTGATGGTGGAATCCGTATGTGAGGGGTGATAACATTGCTTAGAAATTAAAAAAAAATATATATCCAGCAGATGGCGTCTCACTTATTAATTTAACTTGCAAATGCTTCGATTGTTTCATATGATAAATAATTTTTTCTGCGGAGGAGGAAGTTGCGACAGAAAAGAATATAAAAAAATTCACTTAAACAGATGACTAACATTGACGCAGAATCATCCGAAACTTACGTAATGTTTTTATAAATAGCTCGCAAAAATAAAGGAAAGTGTTTTTCCTTTAAATGTCATTATTTTTTCTAGTTAAAAACTTTCACGCCAAAACTGTTGTCATTTCCTTATCCGTTTTATCTTTTCTCGCAATCTCGCTGAAAAATCAATCGTTGTCATTTTTATCTCTATTAATCAGTTTAATTAAATATGACCCAGTTGGGTGTCGCGACGGCAATTGCAAGTTTACCAACCTTGATGGAATGCGAAACGCGATCTAGTTTTGTCGTATGGGTTTTTTACCCACCCGTAACGGTTTGCATAGCAAACTTGTGTAAATTTTTCTCTCTTAAAAAAATATTGGTAGAGTGATGACGTTGCGACCTTGTTTGCTTTGCTAATTGTTGTATTGAATTGTTTGCAAATGATAAGAGATGGAAAGGTATTTGTAGGTGTCGGGGAGTCCTTGAACGAGAGTACTTTTCATATTATTGGGTCGAGAGACGATTAAAAAAATGAAACATAGGAAACAAATGTTCCCAAAATTTGTAAAACTCATTTGTTATTCAACAATCAACGCACTCGCGATCAATGTTGCCAGTTAAAAAAATTAAATTATTTCCAATAGTGTGTTTTTTACATAAACCGAAAGCCTAAGTGTTGAAAAAGTAACACAATTTTGGGCCTACTTCTGTCGTTTTTTAACTTGTTTTTCACTATTTTTGGGTTTTTGGCTAAAAAAAAAAAAAAGTTCTAAAAAGGCAAAAGTAATGGAATTTTCGACTTGGTTTGGTGATTTGTCCGAGTGTCTTAGCAAAATCTCGCAAAAAACCTTAGATTTTAGTCATAATCGCTTAAAAGTTTGGACCATTTTCGACTTAATTTTGTGGTTTTTTGCTAATCTTAAATCGAGTGTAACAAACGAAATACGTGTTTAACATCAATTTCGATTTATTTTTGTGATTTTTTACAAAATTTTGCAAATTAATTGAGCCACACTGGTTTAAAAACGAACTAAATCGAGCGAAACAAGCTGAAGTAATATCAATTTTGCTCTAATTTGGTGACTTCTAATGAAATTTTTCGAAAAAAATTTTTTTTTATTTCAAAACGTGCTTAAATAATTGAAAAAGGCAAAAAATACAGTATTTTGACCATAATTCTGTAATTCCTCGGCTTGTTTTTAACTAAATTTTGCGAAATAATTAGATTTCTGTCTGAAAGACGTTTAAAACGTTCGAAAAGGGGAAAAGTAATAGAACTTAATTTGGTTTGTCTTAGTAAAAACTTGCAAAAAACCTTAGGTTTCAGTTCATAAACATGTTCAAAAGTTTGTAAAAGCTACTAATAGGACCATTTTCGACTTAATTTTGTAGTAGTTTTTCGCCTAATTTTTGACGAAGTTTCACCAAAAAACGACGTGAATCGAGTGGAACAAACGACATAACATCAATTTCGATTTATTTTTGTGATTTTAGGGATGATTTCATAAAATTTTACAAAATAAATGTGCCACTGGTTCTAAAATGAACTAAATCAAACAGGACAAGTTAAAATAATATTGATTTAGTGATTTGTCAGCTAGTTTTAGCGAAATTCTTCGAAAAAAATTGTTTATCTCAAAAACATGCTTAAACAAATAAAAAAGGCAAAAATAACACAATTGTTGGCCTAAGTTGGTGAATTTTTAGCTTTTTTTTTAACGAAATTTTGCAAACTTATTCCGTTTCTAGAATAATTGAATTTTTGACTAAATTTGAATTTTTTGAGTTAGAATTGATTTTTTTTTATTATTATGGAAATTTATATGATAAGAATAAGTAAATTAAATAAAATTACAACCTCGTACGAGTGGCCAAAACTTAACGACTTAAAAAAAAAGCAAAAATAACACCATTTTGGAACTAATTCTGTACCTCTTCTGTTTATTTTTAAGAAATAATTGCGTTTCTGGCTGAAAAATATTCTAAAATGCTCGAAAAATGCAAAAGTAACAGAATTCTCGACTTAAAATTCGGTGATTTTTCGGTTTGTCTTAACAAAAATCTTGCAAAGCACCTGAGAGTTCATAAACATGCTCAAAAGTTTAGGAAATCTAATAATAGAGCCATGTTCGATCAAATTTTGTAATTTTCCACTAATTTTCGCCGAAATTTCACTCAAAAACGAGTTAAATCGAGTGAAACAAACAAAATATCATAAATGTCGATTTTTTTGTGATTTTAGGCGTGCTTTGACAAAATTTTACAAAAAAAATGAGTCACTGGTTCAAAAACAATCTAAATCGGGCAAAACAATTAAAAAAATATTAATTTTGATTGATATTGTGATTTTTCAGCTAGTTTTAGCAAACATTTTTGAAAAGATGTGCTTTGACAAAATTTGACAAAAAAAAAATGAGTCACTGGTTCAAAAACAAACTAAATCATCAAACATTTTTGAAAAGATTGTTTTTATTAAAACCTATTTAAACACTCGAAAAAGGGAAAAATCACACAGTTGTTGGCCTTAGTGATTTTTAATGAAATTTTGCCAACTAATTTGGTCATGAATCTTGATTTTTTTTATTATATCATGGGAAATTTATAGAAATGATAAAAATTCCGAAATTAAATAATACAACCTCGTATGTTTGAAGACAATACTACCAACTTATCACTTATCAATTATTGCGCTATTAGTTCTAATGAGTTATTATAATTAAAATTGCATTGAGTATAAAGCGTAATCAGTTTGTTGTTTAGCAGAAATTGATTATATTTTACATATTTATGGTATAAATGAGACGTAAAAAAATATTACACAAAAACGCAATTATATTTTAATAGTTGAAGTGTTATTTATAACCCGTGAACACACATCGATCAATTTATTTTCATTTCGGCATAAATTAAAAGATAAGCTAAATAATGTGGATTAGTGATTGATGCCAATTTTTGTTTGTAGGCATCAACGATAGATGGCCGTCGCAAAGGGGCTTGTCTCTTCTGCCAGGAATACTTTATGGAACTCTACCTCCTGGCCGAATTGAAAACAATAAGTCTGAAAGTGACAACAGTGGATATGCAAAAACCGCCACCCGACTTCCGCACCAACTTCGAAGCGACTCCACCTCCGATTTTAATCGACCGCGGAATGGCGATCCTCGAAAACGAAAAAATCGAAAGACACATCATGAAGAGCGTCCCCGGGGGCCATAATTTATTCGTTCAAGACAAGGAAGTGGCGACTCTGATCGAGAACCTCTACACCAAGTTCAAAATGTACGTAACTAAATTCGAATCGGCCGATACGAAAGAGGCGAGTCAGCCGCTCCTCTCGCATTTGGAAAGAATCAACGATTTCTTAGCGAAGAGAGGGACGAGGTTTTTGACCGGCGATACTATGAGTTGTTTCGATTGCGAATTGATGCCGAGACTTCAACATATCCGGATTGGGGCGAAAGCCTTCCGGAAGTTCGAAATTCCGACCAGATTTACGGCGCTTTGGACCTACATGGCCAACATGTACGAATTGGAGGCCTTTAGACAGAGTTGTCCCGCCGATCAAGACATCATTAGTCATATTAAGAACCAACTGGGGCTCAGGACAACGGCGAGGATAGAACTGGAGACACCAATATTCACCACTTCCATTCCCATTGTTGCGGAGACATAAATCGAGGAGACTTGACAAGGGGGCGATTTAGTACAAAATTATCACCGCTTGGTGTCGCCCCCAGTTTTATAAATTTTTTGCTAAAAAATAAACAGCGAAACGTTTTTTCGGCTTTTTCTTGTTGAGCAGTATTGTTGCAAAATTTTGAGCTGGACTTAAATTTTTAAATCAGCATTATTTTTAAGTTTTATAAAGTTACTTAAACAATGTTAGTTTTGTTTATCATTTGTATCAATTAGTTAAGTATGAATCATAATTATGTTACAATGTATTTTTACGTAATAAAGGTAACTGTGAACGTAAACACTTTATTAATCAGAACCCAATTACAATAAACGGTATGGGAGAGAGCCTTTTAAGGGGGGTATAAATTTGATACTCGGGTTGTACACATCTTTGGGCATTAGAGCCTTCAAAAAAAGATGTGTGATGATGGCGGTGAGCCCCCAGATTTTTCTCCTCCCTCCTGTGAACACAGGCAGTGAATAATTCGTCCTAAATTGCGTATGTTTGATATGTTCCGGGTCACACAACACCTCCAAAGGAACGGTGAAAACCTCCTTAACCTCACTAGGATTAATCCTCAAATCCCTCACATCCTCAATTTTGAGGGCACCAATCACAGGCAGTACACTTGTCACATTTCTGCTAACAATCACGTTTCCTTTGCCCCACACGTCGATCGAGTCCTGTCCAATCCCCAGCTCCTCCTCGGTCTCCCTCACCGCCGTCTGTTCGGCGGTTTTATCCCCCGCGTCCTCCATTCCTCCAGGAAAGCTCACTTGTCCCCGGTGCGTTTTCAAATTTGCCGCGCGTAGTGTGTATAGTAGCGACACGCGGCCGTCGACGACGCATAGCGGTATTAGCACCGCGGCGTTCTTGGTGGGTGTTTTAGGTTGCGTTTTTACCGGCTGCATTTTGGCGAATTTCGCCACGGTTTTGCGAATGTTTTCCTCATTGAAGATGCTCTCGACGCTGAATGCACTGAAACACTGCACCAGGGGGGGCTTGCGCGATATTTTCGATATCGAAAACATGCCGGAAGTTGCATTTACATCACGAGAATTTTGCCAGCCCGATGAGTTTTTTTGACAGATGACAGATTGTAACGGATCAATGGCGACGTTTCACCAATTTTTCACGCTATTTGAGCCAAAATTAGCATAATTACCACCTGAAATAATAAATGTCTTGGCTGAAACAACAGCCGGGTGATTTTTTAATAAGGGGTCATTTTGGCGGCAAATTTGAATCGGTTGCGTAACGCATTGATTTCCCCACACTTGAGAAAGTTGAGTCGCCGGGAAGACTCACATGTGGTTAGAACAGTGCAGTGATGGCCTTTAACAAGTTTGTTACTTTTTTTCACACTGTTTTTTACCTACTTGGGCTTTTTATCGGTATGTAGATTTAAATTTGCCGCCATGTTTAATTACCGGTAATGCAGATTACTCGAATTTTGAAAAATTGCATTTTGGAAAATAAATTCGGAAAAGAAATGCTCCGGTTTGTGGGTTTCCGGAACAGTCATTGAGGTCAATTACGTTTTTTTCTTTGCTTGTATAGAAACGTCCATCAAGTATCATGCAATGCCAAGGCTCAGTTTCACTTAACCAAACCCATTATTTTTTTTAAACACACATATCAAATTGCAAGTAATAAAAGTGAATGCAGGACTAGTTTGAGCGTTTTTTTTTACACAGTTGTTTACATAAATGATTGATGATTGGAAATTGTAATCATTTACATAATTTTGAATAAATTCTGTAGACAATAGAACCGTTTTTTAATTTCACAAACACGGACGCAGATTGCATTTCTATTTAGGTTTTAATGGACTAGAATAATAAAAAAGAAACTTCCTTACGAGTATAAGTAATCGTTAAGTCACTCTCTACTTGATAATAATGATTTTTCTTTCGTAATTATATTTTTAGCAGCAACTCAAAGTGAAAAAATAAAATGTGTTGAAAACGGTCGTTTTTATCGCGACCCTGACCGCCCTCCTCACAAAGTTTGGACTTCTAGTGAATGCTCCAAATATTATCTTTGCATCGACGGCGAAGTCTTCGATTTTCGGTGCTCCTCGGGTCTTCTTTTCGACGTCATAAAACAAATTTGTGATTTAAAAATAAACGTTGATAACTGCGACATCACTTCAGGTAATCCCCTAGTTCCAAATAATTGCTAGAATCTAATCAATAAAACACAGAAACCATCACTCCTCGGCCAATCCCCAAATGTCCCAACAACCATCAGGGATGTACCGATGGTACTTGTCTCCCCCAGAACTACTTCTGTGATGGGTCTGTGGATTGTCTCGATGGGAGCGACGAGAGGTTCTGTGACCCAAAAAATGACCCCTATGGAGCATTAGAGTGCAACTCGAGTTGTGCCCTGCCGGAGTGTTTTTGCTCCCATGATGGGACACAAATTCCTGGGAATTTGGAACCATCAAAAGTCGCACAAATGGTACTCTTGACATTTGATGGTCCCATCAATTCCGACAATTGGGAATTATTGGGTTGGTTACTAAATGGTGCCAAAAACCCCAATGGGTGTCCCATCGAATCAACATTTTTTGTGAGCCATCAGCACAACAATTACCACCAAACCCAAAAATTATGGAACAACGGGCATGAGATTGCCGTCCATTCCGTTACGTATGACCCACCGATCATGTTTTGTTTATGGGTTATTATTGATGGTGGGTTTTAGGCACCGCGCTGAGGCCCATTGGTGGTCCCGAAACGCCAGCATTGAGGATTGGTTCGACGAAATGGTGGGCGAGGCTAACATCCTCCATCGATTTTCGGGGGTTCGTTTGAGTGATTTGAGGGGATTGAGGGCCCCTTTCCTCCAGATTGGCTCAAATCGCCAGTTTTTGATGATGAAAGAGTTTGGGTTTGTTTATGACAGTTCAATAGTGGCCCCATTTACGAACCCGCCCTTATGGCCCTACACCCTAGACCACAAAATGCCTCATGAGTGTTCAGAAACCAAACAGGAGTGCCCGACTAGGTCATACCCAGGCATCTGGGAAGTGGTTTTGAACCCTTTCGAGGCTAAGGATTACTCCTGTGCGAGACTAGACGCTTGCCCAGGTGACCTTTCAGGCGATGATATTTTCAAAATTTTGGTCAATAATTTTAAACGGCATTATTTGGCCAATAGAGCACCTTTTGGGCTACATTTGAACACAGCCTGGCTCAAAAACAAAGATTATTTTGACGCACTCCAGGTTTGTAATAAACCTAGCCAAGGTTGGGACGATTTAGGTGTGTTTTAGGATTTTATTGAAGAGATCTTACAACAACCAGATGTTTGGTTTGTGACTAATTCACAAGCAATTAAATGGATGCAAAATCCGACTTCTGTTGACCAGTTAGACTCGTTTAAGGAATGGAATTGCGATAAAGTTTTCAAAAAACATGAATTAGCATGTAAAGTGCCCAATGTCTGTAAACTTTATTCCAGGATTTTTCAGCAGGAGAGGTATTTGTATACTTGTTTTCAGTGCCCTTTGAATTATCCTTGGATTAGGAACGAATTCGGGCTCGACTAGCCCATAAAAAGAACTGATTATGTTAATACTGATCTAATATTCTATTTTATGTATTTTTAATATATTATTTATTGTTTTTTAAAATAAATTTTAACTGAAAAAAAGTGTGTAGGCAACCAACAATACACCATAAATTTTATGAATTTGGGGAAAGTTCACGTAGGCTGTGCTTAGCGACGTTGCCGTCACCGAGCCATCAAGTGCCAAATAAAAATAACTTAAATGACCCAAATTTCCTGAAAGTGTATCAACTGCACGTTCCATATGTTCCAAGGTGTACGCACGTGTCAAATAATTTTAAAATAGCAAAATCGTGGGTGTTTTTGTGCCCGTAAAAGACTTGGCATCACCGTTCCGCCATATTGTTTGTGCTCCACGTCCTGTGTTGCGTGCGGAGAATTTTTAAGTTAATTTGAATCCCTCGCACGCATTTGAAAAGTTTTCACTTAAAAATGAGTTACGGACGCCCTCCTCCACGTATCGACGGTATGGTTTCCTTAAAAGTAGACAATCTGACATACCGCACCACCCCCGAGGACCTGCGAAGGGTCTTCGAGCGGTGCGGCGACGTCGGCGATATTTACATCCCTCGGGACAGATTCACACGCGAAAGTCGGGGTTTCGCATTTGTCAGGTATGTAATTCGCTAGTTTATGGGTGAAATTCACGTTTTCGGGTAGGTTTTACGACAAGAGGGACGCTGAAGACGCCCTGGACGCCATGGATGGCCGGATGCTCGACGGAAGGGAGCTGAGGGTCCAGATGGCAAGGTATGGACGCCCCACGTCGCCACATCGCAGATACAGGGGACGAAGAAGGTATTAGGGAGGAACGCCCACTTGTGTTAACGCTGATACAGGTCACGTTCCAGATCGCGCTCACGGTCGAGGTATTCGCGGTCACGATCGAGGTCACGTGGCAAGAGGAGTAGGTCACGCTCTAGGAATCGCTCAGGGAGTGGGTCACGTTCCAGGTCAGATAGCAAGAGCTCGAGGGGGCGGTCGAGGTCGGCGTCTAAATCGGAAGGGAAGAGGTCCAAGTCCAGATCCAACAGCAAGTCGCGGTCTAGGTCTAGGTCTTAGGTAGGGCTGCGCTTTCCATTTTTCGTAAATATTGATAGTTGAGGCTGGGCAATGGTAAGATTAATTTGTTTTTTGTTTGCTAGGTGGCAGAGCCGTAGCAGAATGAGTGCGAAAGCTGTTACAGGCGGTGCTCTCTTGAAAGGTATTTACCTTAGATACTTAAATCACCTCAGACCTTAGCACTGAAAATTCTTGTTTGATTTGATCTGTTTTTGGAGAAACAAATGTAATAATTTTGAATGAAGTCGATTTCTCAGTCCGATTCCATGTTAGTTTTAGTTTTGTTTTTCTCATTTTTTTTTTCATTTTTAATGATTCGTTGACATGTACGGTTTGATTTTTAGATTAAGTTTTGGTTGTGTAATCAATTTCCCCTATAAATTTACTTACAAAACCAGTCATGGCTTGTTTTCTTGTAAAAAAAAATACGTCATATTGCGCTTCCGGCCGCTTTCTTAACTCTTTAAAATGTTACATTTAAATTAATTGTTTTGTGAGGGGTTGAAAAGGCGGCAGGGGCCGTCCACGACGACTCCTCCATCTTCATGAAAATGACTAACGTGTTTTATGTGAACAGCAGGCGGAGTGGTGCTGTGTAGCAGTCGAAAAAATGCTGTGTAGCTGTTGAAACGAGCGATCGAGAGAAAGAACGGTGGTGGCAGTGTACCAGTCGGTCGTTAGCAAGGGGTGGCAGTGTCGAGAAAGAACTGGACCCTAGCCAAAAATGCTCGGTGGGGCTGTCCAGTCTCTTCCAACGGTCACAGTCTACCCAGGGGCTGCCGTTCTTTACAAGCGATTTTTTAGAAGGGGTTAGGGGGGAATGAGGTTCTCACGAGGTAAGTAGGGGAAATCAGCAGGCAGCCCCCATATTTTTTTAATATAATATCGCACGATTCTCGATTGGTTGTCTCATAGGACCCCACACTGACGGGGCTCTTTAAGGTGAATTTAACTTTATTTACAGGTCATTTTACAAGTAATAAAGGGCTAATTGAACCGTTTTCTTTTATTCAACAACCTTACAACTTTCATTCCTTTTTTAATTTTTGAATTGTTTTGTTTGGGTGACAGTTGGAAATGTTTTATTATTGTTGAGTTGGCACTTCCTAATTTAAAAAATTACCAAACAAAAAAATGTCAATTAAAAAATAAATTATTTCAAATGAACCATCGTTTAAAGGAACGACAAAGTGGATTTGAACTCATTAATTAAGTACCTATTTTTGATAATAATTATCTACTTTCTGTACCAACTTTTATTCAAAACTAACAACCTTAAAAGCTTAAATTTACCAGATTTTCGAAATTTAGTGTCAATAATTCTTTTTGCGACTATAATTAGGCAAAGCATCGGTGAAAGTGGTCTTAAACGAGATTTGTAGTATTTTAAAAAAATTGCGAAGAAAGCAAATCGCTTGGGGATATTTTTTTCGTGTCATATTGTTGTGCTTGGGTTGGTAATGCTGTTCCTCCCGTCAAGGCAACAAAAAGTGACAGATCCTCCTTTTCGACCATTGTTTCACCTGAAAAAATGTTATTTTTGCACTTTTTGCTTCACCAGATGGTCAAAATCGGTTAATTTGTGATCAGTGATAGTGTGTGTGTGGCGTTTAGTGCGTCCGGTTGTGAAAACGTGTCCAAATTGTCCATCTGTTTATTTACCCAACGCAACGACCTTGTCCAAAAAAAAAATAAACGAACGTTCGGAATTTGCATTTTTCAGTGTCATAAATCATCCCAGTTCCCGATCCCAAATGTGAATTCGCACCCGTGTGAGTCAAACCCATTATTATGGTTAGACTCGGGCCGACTCCACTGCTATGGCTGAGGATAGCGGAAAGCCGCCCCAAAAACCGTACGACTACCTTCTCAAGTTCCTGTTAGTGGGCGACAGCGATGTCGGGAAGCAGGAGATCCTGTCCGAGTTGGACGACGGCGCCGCCGAGTCGCCCTTTTGCAGCGGCAGCGGTAAGCCCCCGAGTCCCACAACCGCAATTACAACCCCCGTTTCAGCCTACAAGACGACGACGATCCTACTCGACGGCAAACGCGTCCGATTGCAACTGTGGGACACGTCAGGCCAAGGCCGGTTTTGCACGATAATCCGGTCGTATTCGCGAGGGGCACAGGGTGTTTTACTAGTGTATGATATAACAAACCGGTGGTCTTTCGATGGGTTGGACCGGTGGTTGAAGGAAGTCGACGAACACGCCCCAGGCGTGCCGAAGGTTTTAGTAGGGAATAGGCTGCATTTTGCCTTTAAAAGGAAAGTGGGAGAGAGGGATGCACAGATGTATGCCAATAGGCACAGTATGGCGTTTTTTGAAGTCTCGCCCTTGTGCAATTTCAACATTCATGAGAGCTTTTGCGAGCTGTCAAGGATGGCCCTGCAGAGGAACGGCATGGAAAGACTGTGGCGCTCTAATAAAGGTAAGTTTTTCTCCAAAATTTTACAAAACTTTATTTACACTGTCCAACACCAAAAGACGAAATCCGAATTTTATTTGAGAGATTTTGAGAAAATTCATAAGTAAATTTCCAATCGAAGTCTCCTACGACTGAAACTAAGTTGGTAACATAAACTGTCAACTTCAAACGTCACACATTTTCACAGTCAATTGTCATTTATTTCCGAGGGGCGGCCAGTGTTGCCAGCTCAAAAAAACTAAATTTACCCTTACCAGATTACAAGATTATTGAGAACTGAGATTTCCTTAAAAAGATTTTATTTAATTTTTCGACAAAATTTCACTTAAAAACGAGCGAAATCGAACGAAACAAGTCTAGTTAGTTTTATAATTTTTAGATTTTGCAAAATAACTGAGTCTCTGGTTCAAAAATGGAAGAAATCAAGCCAAGCAAGCTAAAAAAATATCAATTTCAATATAATTTGGTAATTTTTTAGACATTTGTAGCAAACTTTGTATGTACACTGGCGGACAGGGAATTTTGGACGATTTGTCATTCGACTGACATAAAAATGTAAAACGGACCTTAGGCAACTAACCTCACTTTCGGTTTTTGTAATCTTAATCCTAATACGTAGCTACAGAAAAAATGACAACAAATCAAAATAATTTATTAAACTTATTGTTTCGAAAAATCGACGCCAAAAATAAATTTCGACTAAAACTTTCAAATTTTAGTTTCGAACGTCAATCATACTGACAATAAAGCCTGACTTGCATTGAAATTTTTTTAATTGACATAACTTTGATGTCCAAAATTCCGTGTCCGCCACTGTATGTAAAAATGCAAAAAGAAAACTAGTTTTCGCAAAATTTTGTAAATTTTCAATTTTGCAAAAAAAGTTCTGTTTCTGGATGAAAACCGTACTAAAAGGCTTCAAAAAGCCAAAATAATGTACTTTTTGATCCAATTCAGTGATTTTTGATCCTATTTTGGTGATTTTTCAACTTGTTTTTGAAAAACAAAATATATTACAAAATAATTCTCTGGGAAAAAAACGTGCAAAATGCTTACAATATCAGTAATTAAAAAATCGAATTTTGTTCCTTTGAGACTACATAAAAAATTAATTTCTCTAAACATCTGGTCGAATACTTGATTTAAAGAAATATTTCAAAATATCTTAATTTTTTGCTGTAACTACAACTACATTTTAGGTATTAGAATTTTTACAAAAGTTTTTACCAAATCACCAGATATGATGAAATTTCACCAGACTGGTAACACTGGGGGCGACTGCTGGCATGACCTCTGCCACCACAATCTGATTTCACCAATAATTCACTGTTGCCAACTTAATTGAGTCAAAGGTCACTTCGACCAATAATAATTTATTTGAACGGTGTAACATGTTAAAAAAAGGCTTTTTCTTTGATTAAAATTGGTTTAGATCAAATTTTCGTAATATTGCACTTGAAAAAACGAAAAAGTAAGGCCGATAGTAACGAATGAGTTTCAAATTTGGTATATGCATAAAAAATAAAATAAACACAAACCACTTATTTTTGACGTTTTTCTGAAAAAAATGCTACTTTTAAAGCTTTAAGTGCGATTTTTTCAAAATTCTTTTAATAAAAAGATAAAGGAAAAAATTGGACAGTGTAATCATTTGTTTTTAAAGTTATTTGCCCCTTATAAGTCCCTGTTTATAAGCCAATTCCCCTTCGTTTAATTCCTCAAAAACTTGTTAGCGTTCAGTTTAAATATAAAAAAAAATAAATTGTTGCGTTTTTTTTTTTGTACATGAAAGTGTTAATTAAGCAAGAAAAAGTCAAGTTAAGAATAAGTAAGAATAAGCATTATTGTTGTAAAAAGAACGAAAGAGTGTTTTTCAACACTTTCCTGGAAATTGATTCTGCTTGTAATGCAGTTTTTGCTTTCCTGTAATTGAATCCCTCCCGGGCGGTGAGTTTAATATCCTTTATCCCTTTTTTCCCTGTAGTTTTATTGGGGGCTAATGGACTTGTTTTTCTCAGTGTTGAGCCTCCAGGAGCTGTGTTGCCGGGCCATCGTCGCCCGCACAACCGTCTACAGCATCGAGCAGCTCCCTCTACCGACTTGCGTAAAATCCTACCTTAAATCGTACGCCCTTACGACCACTTCGACCCAACTCAAATACACGCACAGTCAAAGAAAAAGCAACGGACGTAAACTGCGTTTCATAAGTACGCCAACATCACCAGGGGGCGATACGAGAACGAGTTGTGTACCGAGAAATTCATGTACTATATCTTGATATATGTTGTACGTGTGTTTTCGTTTTGTGATATTGTACAAAATTTATCGGTTGTATCGACATATCAAGGAAATTATGTAATTTTTCTATTAGTTAAGGCAGTTTTTTGCGTAACCGTCCTAGTTCGGGTAATCAGTGTAAATAATTGTCATTAAGGATTTGTAACTGTCATTTTTTAGCGGATAAGTCAGCACCTTGAGTTGGACGTTGTATATAATATTTTTTGTGTTACCTTTTTTTTGTATATAATTTACTTAACCTGTATTTTTTTACTTTATTTATATTACTTTTTACTAACAGTTTTATGTTACGTAAATAGTGTTTCACCTATTTTTATTTAATGAAATGTATTTTAATATTGATTATAGCTGGTACTGAATAATTTGTAAAGGTTCGTTTTTTTTTCGCTCCCGAATGAAACAGCAAAGTAAAAACAATTCAAAAAAATATATTTAATACATTTATACACAATATACATAACAATAATGACTTGTTTAGTCTACTTAAGCTAAATGAACAAAAATTTTATACAAACCAAAAGTGAAATCAAAACGTACAATTACCCAGTCATTTTCAGTTCTTAAAAATTAATTAATTAAAACCAAGCTACCCATTAATTATGTACACAAAAAACAATGAATAAATACTGCTCACTAGTACACTTATCTCCATTTGAAAAATACTGTAAAACAAAAATCTTTTGCTAGAGAGAACGAGAGGGCATGCAGTATGAAATAAGCCGGCTTGAGTCAACCAATTCACCTAAATTCATAAATTTGTATACTATTTTCAGGCACGTGTGTTAAATTTAAAGACTGAAACCATTCACTGCTTCTGTGATAATAGTAACCTTCAATCGTGGCTTTAGATTTTTGAAAACAAATGTAGTAAAACCCGGCAAATGAAGCCCCACTTATGTCTTTAATCGTGTGATCAGGGACAAGAAAGTGTTCCTTCCATCTCATAAAAACATAATCAGTGTCTCCGAGCGCTTTATAATCAAAATTATCCGAATTAAAGGTTTTCGCGTATTGAGAAAACGACGAAAATTTGCTCTGTAACAGAAATGGAAGTTAGTGGGGTAAAAAATGATTTACGGGCTTACCCAGTGTTTTTTATCCACGTCTTCGTCCGCGTCCCACTTCCTGGTCAAAAACGGGTACTTTTGGCTGATAATCTCGCCGTCGAAGAACGTAGTCAACGTGGGGTACTCGTCCGTGAGCCCATTTATTTGCAAATACCCGCACAAATATGAATTTTCCTCGTCAACGTGCTGCAAAAAGAACGAAATTTAAATTTCCCGCCATTTCTGGTTGCATTAGCATATGTTGATATTTTTAGTTTTCTTTAAATAAGCGGTGAGCGAAAGGGACGTCACGCGTCCCGCTAGGGCCCCAACGACACAAAGTCACGGGATTTGGGCAAAGGGGCGCAGTGTCTGGAATATTTCTAACTTCTAACCTGTAAAACCACTTCCACTTCGTATGAATTGCCTTTCGACTTCTGGAAACCTTGGAATTTGGAACCGTTGTACAACAGGGACTTTGTCACCCCCGGCTGCTTGGAATTGGCCGGTGGGGGAGGCGTAATATCCACCCTGACCGGCATTTTTAAAGCACTTTTGCACTCAACTGTCACCAATGTCACTTTTTTGAAAGGAAAATGGCGATGGTGAGTCATCCGAGTCGGTCAGAGGGTTTTTGCGCATGCTCATATTACAACAAAGGCATTAATTGTGTGGGCGACTGTACAAAACGACCGTTTTTTGCAGAAAAAACCGCTTGTTTTAACACTAAACGCAAAATTATAATTGTTGAGTAATTATATTTTAAGTTCAATTGTTTTTCTAATAGATTTTTTAGTTTAGTTTTAGCGTGTCAATGTATTATTGGTTGCATAAGCAACAAAATAGGTTTATTTTTTGTAAATTTGTATTTACAACTACTTTATGCATCAAAAATACAATATTCTCTGCTTTTTGCCGGTTTTATTCGAAAAACGTCTTACAAATTAACAAAATTTCTTATGGTACAAAACTTAGTCTTGGGATATAAAGGGGTTCTGTATGGACTCCATGCCGTCCATAGGACATATAAGCACAACACTTGTGCCCCTACAAACCACCAAACCCAAGGCCCGCGTGTCTTCTGTTAGTTTATAAGGGTCATCAGGATCTCTCAAATACTCAATTGTGTTATCTAAGACGAGGTTCAGAAGAGGGTCGTAGCCTTTAAGGATACCACTAGCTTCTCTACCGCCCGCAAATTTAACTCTAATTGTCTTTTCAAGGTATTTTGAGAGGTCTAAAATCGACTCTTTACGTTTCTTCTCTTTTTGGTCACCGCTCTGATTCTACGATTAAAAAGGGGGTTAACGGTGAGAAATGGGGCTGTTTGGGGTACGTACTTTTGATTTGTCACCTGACGATGCCATTGTTCTGGTTTATTTGTTGAATTTTGGCGATTTTGAAAATCTAACCTAGAAATTCGTTTGTGAGCGACGCGTGTGTACGGAATCCTATGCGCATGAGGTCTTAAAAAATATAAACAAAGAAAAATTATTAAAATTACGGTTTTGATAGGCGCAATTTTTTTAAATTATGCTACTTTGTAATTAAAACTTAAAAAAGTTCGCAATTTTAGGACACCAAGCTCATAGGATTCCAAATGTAAAGGAAGTGGCTAAAGTTACGTTTTAAACTTATTTAAACGAAAAACGTTAATATTTTGATGATTATTTATTAAAAAATTATTATTTAGACACTGGGGTGTTGTTAAAGGTTTCGTTTCTTTATTAATTCGGGCTTCACGCCTGGGTATAAATGTACAGTTTGGCACAAAAGTGTGTTAATTAATGTACAGTGGGTTGCGAAAGTATTGTCCAGGTACATAGATCAGAGCACTAGAACATGCTCCTCGACTCCTAGCCCGCACAAATAAATTGCTTTTCCCTCCTCTAACGTACATCCAATTTCCAGTAACGTACACGGCGAACAATCAAATTGATAAATGCTAAAAAAAATAATTAGAAAAAAAAATGACCCAAAGTGTGACTTACGCAATTGTTAAATTTTCATGCAAGAACAAATCGTCATTACTCCTCACGACGTGATTAACAAGTGATGGGTTTATCGAGGGGTTGACTTCCAATAACGTACAATTATTAATCAAGTGTTCTTTGACAACACTATTACATTTAATTTTTTTAAAAGTACCATTTTTGTCCGTTGTGAGGAGATTTAAACTTAATTGGGCGGCTTGTGCTCGCACTAATTTCGTCAAAACGTAAACTGTAATAACCCCTGATAGGAAAATATCACAGGTGAATATCCGGTGGACGTAACAAATCGAACTATTCAAAAATTCTTTGGTAATTAAACACCTAACACCAGTACTGGTGAAAGCACACTGCAAACAATTACATTTGTTGCTCAATGTGGGTATCTCATGGTAGTTGGGGACCGACTCCAGGGATTTAGGGTGCTTGATTTTCGAGAGTTGGGGGTGTTGAGTGAAGAGGTCGTAGACATCCTGGAAATTATGATTAATAAATAGTATATTAAAATACAAGATGATTCAAGCAAGAGTTTGAGCGGCGTAGCGGCGAGTTGAACAACAAACGATTGCTTATTTTTATTATTAACAAATACCTGGTTGACTCCGGTGAAAAAACTGGTCTTGAAGAGCCTCGTGATGGGATGTGTGTAGAGATAGGGCCACAAGCTGTTCCAAAAGGCCGAATCCCTGTTGATGAAATCCTCGAAGAATTTTTGTCGATTCTCGCTCTTGGGCAAGGTTTCGTGCGTCCATCCGGGGGCGAAAATGGCCATCGACAAGTTGTGTCTCCTGATCATTTGGGCGGCTTTGAAACAGTTGAATTGGCCGCCCCCGAAAGTGTTGCGTCCGAAGACATCCACCCCCACGTAGACGTCCAAAGTCCGGTGTTGGGCGAACTCGATCGAGTTGTGGATGTTCTCCTCGGTCCACACGTAATTGAGGAAGATTCCGTCGCAATTATCGAAGAAGAATTTGTTAAGGGGGTTGAGTTCGTTTTGCCACTTCAGCTCCCCGGTTTCTATGATGCTGTCGTACCAGATGATTAGGTTGCCGGGGCTGTCGGTGTGGGTTTGCACCCCCAAATAAGCGACGAACTTTTTCAGCATTTCGGTGTCTTGGAGGGAGTTTTCGATGTTGAGGAGCCAACCATCGAAGCGAAATATCTTTAAAATTTGGGTCAGAGAGGTGGCGAAAATGCGCATGGTGTCTTCGTCTTTGAAAATCTTCTCGCAGATTTTTTTCCCCGGCTCAAACTCCGTTATTAGAGTCCCTAGGATCTTCACCCCGTTTCTGTGAGCGGCATTTATCCAACACAAGGGGGGAATTGTGATTAAATGGTGACTGAAATAAACGAAAATGTCGATGTGTTGCCAGTTGTAGAACGAGTACAAATTCCCGATATTCGTACTCGACAAAAACCGGTCCTCCAAATAGCCCCCTTTGTAGTCATGACAGACCAAAGTCTTGGGAACGAATCTCTTATCTAAGCGTGTCCGAGGCACGAATTTTTTCGCATCACAGTGACAGTCGGAAATTATGTTTTGGACCACAGTGGGGCTGCGCTCGGCCAAAGGGGCGACGCGGCTCACCCACTGTGGGGGGTTTTCGATCACTTCCGAGATGCTGTCCAACGACGTGATTGGGAAACACTCGAATTCGTTCAGCTTGATTTTTTTCATGGCAGGGGGGCTGTCTTTGTCGCTTTCTACAATGAACACTTTATGCAACTGGACGGAAAAAATGATCCTAGTTACCAGTACTCATTATCGGTAATTGTAGGACGGCGGAAAACGGAAGCTAATTGTGGGTTTTGATAACTTAAGAAAAATTATTTCCGCATCCGGGATTGTAACCCAATTAACCAAGGAGTCCCCTGAAATGACAACCTTACTCACACCCCCAAAATGAGCATTTTTGCTGGCAATTGTGCCAAATTTGTGGGGACTGTGTTGGTTTCGAATTATCCTCGTTTAGAATTAACAACAAAATTATTACTCGAATTGTTTAGGATGGCATAACCTCACTTTAATAATTTTATTGTTGTTTACTTTTAGATTGTTATAAAAATTAAACTAGAATAATAAAGCGATTATTTGTTTCCTTTCGTTTTTTTTAGGGGTAAAAATTGTATAAATTTGACATAACCTCACTTTATTCACAAACTTAATTTTATCAAGTTTTTTTTATTGTGAAACGAACTAAATACTGTACAATACCGTCACAATTTTAGATTTAAGGAGGAGATTAAGTTTATTATTATCAATTATCACATTTTATCGTTCATAAAAAAAGTAAAACAAAAGCATAACCTCACTTTTTTATCTGTGATTCTTTGACCACAATTTTTTCCTTGAATTGGGTCAACTGGTTTGTTTACAAATAACCGGTTTTCAATGTCACCAATTTGGGACAAAAACTCGCCAATATCTCGCATTTTTTATTAAATATTCAAAGAAAAACAATGTAATATAAATAAAGCACTTTGCAAGTCATTGAGAACAGTTTTTCGTCTTCTTTTCACCTAATCGTGAAAGAACTACGATTTACTTGGATTTGAGAAAGGAGGAAACAAATTTCGTCAAACTAAATCGCGGGTACTTCTTTCGGTGAAGAAATTGAGTCGTTATTCATCTGGGGCCCATCAACGCATTTCCAAAGACCATAAGTTTTACCAATTGTGGTTTGCCATAGTCGTAAAGTACCGTCCTCGGACCCGGAAGCATATAGTTCACCGTCGGGGGAGAATTTGACACAGTGGACGGGGCCAAAGTGGCCTTTAAACGATTCTGGAAACGATCAATGAGACAAAAACGAATCAAAATTGTTTAAATCGGTACCAATTTCGTTTCCAGTCGTGTAATCGAATTTGTAGACCTTTAAATCGTCGCCTCCGGCGACAAAAATCGTTTTATCGGGATGCAAGGACGCTGAATTGACTGTCGTAGGAACGGAAAATTCTCTAATTTTGTTTAGAGATTCGGAATCGAGGAATGTGACGTGATTTGAGTGAGTTACTGTGAGGACAGTGCCGTCTCGTGACACTTCAAGGCTGTTTGGAATAGATGGAAAGTCGATTTTTTGGACTTCCTGTAACAATTTTGTTTAGTTTGTAATCGAGCTCAGGATTTTCGTTACTTTTCCGGAACTCCTATCCCAGACTCTCAGAGTCTTGTCATCAGCACACGAGACCAGATGCGTGTCGTTCCTGAAAAAAATCACGTGTCTTATCCCGGAAGTGTGCCCCGTAAACTCCTCAGGTTCTGAAACATGTAAATGATCAGAAATGGAGTCAAGGCGAATCCGAGGCCACCTTACTCGCTTCAGGTTTATTCAAATCGAATATTCTGACGAGTTTCTCGTTGCTTCCCGTTGCCAACAAGGCACTGTCTTTGGAAAAGTTGACACTTTTAACGATATGTTTATGCTGGAAGGAGTGGAGTTCCTCGCCCGAGTTGGCGTCCCACACTTTGCCTGTGAAGTCGGCGGCGCCGCTGGCGGCCTTGGTGGCGTCCTTGTTGAGCGCGACGCCCCAAACCGCCCCCTTGTGGCCCTCGAAGGTGCCGATCCAGTCGCCGGTGTCCCCCTGGCGCAGCATGGGCTTGCCGTCTGAAAAGGCCTCGTAGAGCAAATCCAGGCCAAGGTAAATGTCGCCGAAGGTAAAGTTTAACTTACCTTTGCATGCCGAAATTAGGAAATAACCGTATTTTGTCACCGAACTGAAGTCCAAGTGAACGACGGGGCGAGTGTGGCCGCTACAGGTTAAGGGGGTTTGACGGAGATTTGCCATAGTTTTCTATTTTATTAGGTCAAACGGTACAAAAAATTATACTAAAACCTACACACCACACTACACGAGGAGTTCAGAAAGCGAACTGAATTTGACAGCGTCAACACAGCTGGGGAAAGCCATGACAAGTGTGCGCATGCGCTGGTGTATAATTGGTTGCGTAACCCATGAAAAACTTTTTTTTTCTTCGACAATGTACCAAATTTAAAAAAAAAACGTCTATCAAACGGCAAATATTCTGAATTGGTCAGAGTTATGATTAAAGTGATCCTTAATATTGTCAAGTTGGTATTTCCTAATTTTAGTAATTAAAAAAATTGTAAAATTACCAACGTTAATTAACTGACGTTTGGTTAAAAATAAATTGCCAATAAAGTCAATTGAAAAATACATTTTTTCAACTGAACCATCGTTTGAAGGAAGACTGTAGGGTGTAAAGTGGGTTTGAACACATTAATTAAATTTTTTATGATTTCATCACTTTTAGTAAATATTTGTTTTTTGTACAATTGCGGAATAAAAATTTCGGGCAGTATGGTCATTTTTATAATGTAAATTTTAAAACAACCTTTATATTAATAACCTCATTTTTTACTCTTGTCATGTATAAGTCATTTTGACTTATTTATTTTCAAAAATTGTGATTTGTGGCCTAATAACATGTAGACAGCAGATCAAAGCGACACTTAGTTCAATTAATAATTTTTTTCACACAAAAATTGGTGTGTATTAACATTGTTGGTGAATTATAGCAAGTCATACACAAGATAACGTAGACTTACCCAGACATTATCGCGTAATTTGAATCTGATTGGTTATTTTAAGAAATTTGAAAGATTTGATTGGGTTAAATTCCGTGACGTCACGTTAAAAAAAATTGTGTATTTGTACGACTAAAAATCCCTTTGTTGTGTAAACAAGTGTAAAGGACGGAAAAAATGATGACGTAGAGTTTGGTTATACAGGGTGTTTCACATAACTTTACGTGGCTTGACAAAAGTCACAGAACACAAACAAAATAAATTTTTGAAAGGGTGAACAAACTAGAGAAGATTACCCAATTTTCCAAAATTTGTAATCGAGTTCGTATCAGAGTATGTATTATTGACTGCATCTTACAGGCGTAGGCCTCGTAAAATTATGTGAAACACCCTGTATTCGAACAAAGGCCTTTAACACCGGAACTGTTACGAAATAGTTTTTGTGACGTTTTCGAGAAAATTATTACAATAACGAGTCAGTCTTAGCTGAGCTGTCGTACGAATCACTTGTCCGAATAAATTATAACTTATTATTTGGTGGTTCTGTGCGAAATCGTGTTGAAATGTACACACAGAGCGTGTGTGTGGTGTTGTTTCGAGTGTCTAATAGACATTTAGTAGTGCGCGATTTTTAAAATTTCGAGTGATTAGTGAGTGCCAATGGGGGTAATGGAGAAGACAATCGTGCTACAAGGATCTGGATTAAAGGGTAAGTCAACAATACTTTTTGATTTTTTAGAAAAATTACACTTATTAAATTATGTTTAAAATTCTCCACTAATTTAAGAAAAAATTAAACTAATTTTGAATTTCTTTTATTTCAGTAAGTCCGTTCTATGAAGATGAGGGGAATCGCTACAAATGGTAGCAGAAGATGATGCCATATAAGGTCAGAGCATTTTATTTATTTATTTTTTTTTGTTTATTGCAAAGTGAAGTGTGCGAAACTCGGTCACCAGTGAGTGCGTGTTGTGTATTTTCGAGTGCTAATAGACATTTAGTAGTGCGCGATTTTTAAAATTTCGAGTGATTAGTGAGTGCCAATGAGGGTAATGGAAAAGACAATCGTGCTACAAGGATCCGGATTAAAGGGTAAGTCAACAATAGCTTTTAATTTTTTAGAAAACCACACTTTTTAAATTTTATTTTTATATTTTTAACTGATTTAATAAACACATTGTACTGATTTTGCGTTTCTTTATTTTCAGTAGGTCCGTGTAAGAAGCAGAGGCTAATTGCTACAAAAGGTAGCTGAAGAAGATGCCTTAAAGGTTAGTGCATTTAATTTTTTATTTTTTTTGTTTATTACAAAGTGAAGTGTGTGAATTTGTGATTTTTGAGTGCAACAGTAAGTATTTATTGAACTATTAATATGAATTAATTGTGTTTTAGATAAAATGTATTATTTCTCAAATCCTTATTCAAAATTGGTAGAAAACAAAAGTAAATCTTGAAATTTAACATTATATTCAAATTTATTTATTGCGATTCAAAATACAAATTTTTTAAAAACTTGTTAATATTGTTAGAAAATGTCTCAATATCAACAAAATTTATTTTAATAACATCAATAATAATAACTTAATTAATAATAATTCATTAAGTTGCGAGGCGGAAGATCTGCAGTGACGCTAGATTTTTTTTTACATTAATCTCATTTCAAACAATTTATCAGCAATATATCTGTAATGGTGAATCTTGCCTGACTGCATGTCTAAACCGCCGGGTCAGTGGAGTGTAAAAGTTGTGGAAATTATTTGTCAGAAAATTAAGTCTTCAAATAATTATCTGCCAAATGGTTTCTTCTTCTTTTGCCGGGTCAAATAATAATAATAAAATAAGTGAAGTGTGTGATTTTTACAATAAAAAGATTCATTTAGTGTAAAATAAATCGTGCGCGAATGTGAGTTGGTAGCACTGCATTCCCAAAAATTACAACCGCCAATCTTAAACTCAGCGAAGAACAACAATTTCAAATTCCAAGTTGTATTAATGCAATAATTGGTTCATTAGAAACCCTCAATCGATTTTTCAATTGTTTTCCAATTAACGTTGGTGACGATTATACAGGGAGCGCCAGAACTCGCGCCCCAGAGAAAAATGCCATATAAGGTAAGATACCAGGAACATGAAAAAAATGTTTTAAAAATTCTATCTGTCAAAAAAATTTTACATTTATTTTTCGACATATGACATTTTTTTATGTTTATTTAATGATACTGATGATCTTGTATATGTTTTTTTTTTACAATTGTTTAGTAAAGGTACAAAAATTTTGCGAATGAAAGCCACAAATAACATTGAACAGAGTTACAATTTAGAACACAGCTTCCTTGTTTCCTCTTTTAATAGCCTATAGCAAAAAAACTTGTAAAATTATTTTCCCAACAGAAATAAATAGAGTAAAAGTGCAAACTTTAATCCCTCATAACTTCGAAATTTTTATAGATAAAATTTTTTTAACATTTTTTTACATGTTCCTGGTATCTTACCTTACATGGCATTTTTCTCTGGGGCGCGAGTTCTGGCGCAGCCTGTATACGCGCTATTAGTGTGACGTCAGTAAGGTTGTACATACGAGACTGTATCTTTGAAGCTAAACAAATAAAAGTTTATTTCTCGAATCCTGGACGTGTAGTTTACAGTGAACTCTTTAAAGTGACAGAAAAGTACTGCCCGAAATTTTAATTCGGCAACTTTACCCTCTTTTTGTGTGCTACTGTACCATGCCGGAGAAAAAAATAGAATATCACTTTCTGAAAATTCTCCTTCACTTCTTCATTTTCTGAAAATTCACTGTAAAGTACGCTTTAATGTCAAATTTGACTTTTCAAAACGTCAAAATGCCAGAAACATCATTATTTAAAGCCTGCTTCACATTTAATAACATTGGTGTTTATTTTTCAAAACTTACTATTTTCACACAACTTGACAAACTTACCAAATTTTCAAACTTTAGTGTGCCAATCAGTTTTTATTCTCAAAAACTGTAAAAACTATGGCAAAAATATAAAAAAAACGTCGGTATTGTAGTTGTATTCTAGACGTGGTCGATTCCAAAGCGCTTCGGGGGTTCCCGGTCATAAAAATGGCCAAGGAAATGATCGAGTGGTTAACTTGGGGGAAAATGTACGACTTTGGAATAAGAAAGAGTCAAAATAGGAAGCGGTGATTACATGCTCAAAGGCGAAAGCTTGATGGGGGAGCTAAACGGATTACATAAAACCGGAAACTATATAGGGGAGCTACAAATAAAGATTTACAAGCGACTACGAGTCACAATTCAGAGGATAAAGTCTTTTCATAATGGCTTATGAACGACTCACTGGATGAATAAGTTATTGTGAGAAAAAATTCTTGAATAAAACAAAGTTACGTTTCGTTTTTTTTTTATTACATAGTTGATAGATAAAAAATTACATTATATTTTATCATTGTTCACACAGACGTAGCATAACAATAATGTAAAGGTCAGGCAGACAGAGCAGCTGTGCCGAAAATGGCACTTTTTCGCATTATAAATATATAAAAATATTGTGCTTTAATCCCGGACCTGATCCTACATTCAAATAATTTACAAATAAAATAGTCATAAATTACCATGATTTGTACCGCTGGCCAAAAATGTGTTTCATTTAGTTTTTAATTTCAACAATATCACAGTATACTTAAATAAAAAGTATGAAAAATGCCGAAAAACACGCTCCTATCACAAATACAGGAAACCTCCTGAGGCAGTGCACGCACAATGAGCACATTTTCTTACTGAACAGTCTTGAAATTTTTCCTTTGAGTATTCTCCAATAAAGGCAGTGCGAGTTTTCAAAACCGATAGTAACACAAAAGAATTAGAAGCAAGGCGGCTGTCACGTCAAACCGGGGACTCGACCCCCCAGACGGCGTTTGGTGCTTGTAAGGCAATTTCTGCAGGACGTCGTTCCCCTCAAGGTTGTTACTGCAACCCATCCAGAAGGGCCCCGAGGGCTTCTGCTGCCGGTGCTCGACCCTCATGTAAATATCATTAAACTTCCAGAATCCCGTCCCTTTGAAAAAGTACGTCTTCCCTGTAAAATCACATTATACCCGAGCTACATACTTGGGTTTTTCTCCTACCATCCTTCCATTGGAAGACTGCGTCGATATCGGTCCCCACTCCGCTCCACATGGACATGTCTCTGGGGTAATCCAACTCGACTTTTTTCTCCTCTTCGTCGAATCTCCAGTACATGGACCCGCTGTAGAAGTAGGTCTTGCCGTTGTGGCCCCATATCATCGCCCCGTCGATTTTTTTCAGCGTCTCGGGGAGCCCCAAATCGGTGAGGGGGCGCGGGTAGCCCGGCTCCAGGCGGTTTCCGGTAAACACATAGAATCTGTCGTCGATGAAAAAGACGATTTTGTTGTCGGGACGCTCGTAGACGGCGTCCACGTGCGTGAAGTTGGGGGGGAGGTCGCGCCACAAGCGCCGGATTTCGGCGGGGTAGCCCGGCATTAAGACTCCGGTCTCGTCGATTCTCCAAAAGTACTACAATAAAAAAAATTAAAACTGAGTTTTTTTTTATTTATTTCAATTACTTGGTCTTTGAAGAAGAAAACCTCCCTCCGGATCACCGCCACCGAATCGTAGCTCGTATCACACGTATCTGGGGGCCTCTTCGGCGACTCCTTATCGCTGTTGTGGTGCCTCCAATCGGGGTACCTGGTGGGCCTCGCCGTGGTGTACCTATGCACCGGGTACCTTGGGTACTCCTTGGGATTGTGGTTCTTCTTATCGGGATGCATGGGCTTCTTGGGATTATTTTTAGGCGGATAGTAGGGATTGTTATGTGGATGTCTACTGTTTGGAAATCTGGGGTTGTAAGGGTTGGGCCTTAAGTGGGGCCGTCGGGTCGTAGTCGTGGTGGTAGTAGTGGTGGTGGTGGTTGGGGGCCTGTAGGGCTTAATCCTGTCCCATAATCGCGTGGTTCTGGCCCCGTAAAGGGCCTGGATGCCGAGTTTGTCGTCCTCGGGTAGTTCGTAGTCGAACCCATTTTCCATTTCCTTGTACCATGGGTACATCAAAGCGCCCTCTTCAGAGGAGTGAGACAGACCCAGCGAGTGGCCGAATTCGTGGGCCGCCACATTAAACAAATTCGTCCCTGGAAAAATCAACAAAGTGATAAAAATTGACGATAAAATTCCCTTATGGAAAGTTATGAAAATTTCAAGTTTCAGTGACGTAGCACACGATCATTATCTATTTTTGGCCAATTAATAAATTAGTGACTCTATTTTTGAAGCTTTGATAGGATTTAAAAAGCTTTTCAGGCGATTGTTCGCTTCTTGTTAATTTTCCGAGTATGTAACATACTGCTTTCGGTGCGTTTTTTCTTCATTTTTCGTTGTTTTGTTCGGATCAAAGGTCTACTTCCGGTTTTGTAGGCGTATTCATATCATAACAAGACAGGCTTCAATAGCCCATACAAAAACTTTGTTGTAATTTACAGGATTAGGGCCGAATGTGTTGGGTGAAAGGACAAGACGGATCAAGATTATAATTTATTATTCGTTTTGAGTATTTTTAAAGAAAAAAAAAACAGATTTTTTAACAAAACCCATAGTTAAACATTGACGAAAGTTGCAACAGCGGTATTTTTGTCCCAAAAAACAATTATTTTTGATAAGAGAATTTTATTTCAATTAATTGAAACTCAATTAGAAAGTTTGCAATCCGCTTTCGGTGCTTTGAAATTCGATTAATAAAAGTTTCCGTGTCAAAATCGTTTGCATAATTGAAAATGGAGCGTTTTGGCTAAAATTCCTGATTTTTAAAACATGTTTCAGCCCCTAATTGATTCCATCCATGCTCTCTCGTCGAATTATTTCGACTTTGATGGCCGGTTCCAAACTATTAAGTTGATGGAATTTTCAAGAATTCAGCGCGCGTTTCAGGCCATTTACTCAAAAACCCGAATAAAATATTTTCAAAGCGACTTACAGTCAAAGCAGATGCCGAAAATCAGAACCAACGTCATGCTTTTTAATATCACACGATTTTTTTAAACGGTTTTGATCGAACTAAATCCCGAAAAAGCGAAACTGTCACGTTCGGTATTCACTTCACTCGTAGTTCTTTCAAGCCGGGTTAAAGGTAAATTTAATTACGAATTATTTGCACAGTTACGTCAAAATTTCGACGAGGAAACGCGCAGTCACGACACGGCTAAATTTAAAACGAAATAAATATAATAAAAGGAGGGAATTTGGCTGTGTGGTCAGTTGAGAATTTTATTTTTGGACGAAATAAAAACTAAAGATAAAGGGCACAAATGTGTGTTTTTTTCTAAAATTGATTTTATTTTGAGATTTCAATTTCCGCTCCAATGCCGTTTTAAAATTATCATGTAGTGCACCAGATGCAACGATTCGGTGCCAAAAACTGTGAGGATTGACAAAGTTTATAAATAAATAATGCATACAGGACTTCCGCGGGAACTGCTTCACTTCTGTAAACCGGGGTTTGTTTGTAAACAGCTTTAAAAGGTTCAAACAAGCTCAAAAACATCAAATATTTAAAAAATTACGAATAGTTGTGTGACAAGGCATAAAGCTGATTTTTAATCACAAATATGGTTTTCCGAGGCGATAACCGAGCCTTAATTTATACATTCTTGATGAAATCGAAGTGATACAGAGTGATTTACGTAAAATTACAACTCTTAACAAACCTTAAAAGCAACTAACTAACTCATTTTTAATTTTTATTACGTTACGAACGTATGAAATCGCAATTCCTGATCGCCACTGATTGCATTATACTTTTTTGAAATTTTTGATGATTACATTTCGATTCTACCAACGAAAACTATAGTAACTCATAAAAATTGGCTTTGAGTTATGATGACTTATGTAGGGCCCAAAATGCAAAAACAATGAGAATTTTTTTTTAATAAACAACATTATTACCAAAACTTAAACCCCAGTAATTTTCAATACTTAATATTAAACAGTTCCTTGATTTTTTGTTAACAATCAAAAATTCAATGCAGTTTTTCTCAAAACAGTAAATTTTGAGTTACTATAGTTTACGTTAGGAGAGTCGATTTGTTCTTTCAAGAACAAAAATGTACAATTGTGTAATAAATTAAAGTTTAACAAAGTTTTGTAAATCACCCTGTACGTTTTCATAATTTCAGAAAAATGAACTATTGTGCTGAGGTGTACACTACGTTATTTTTTTCTAAAAGTCTCTATAATTTTTCTTGAATATAAATTTAAACTTTAAAAAGTGTAGATCATTTTGTGTTTAAACTATTTATTGTTTATTTTCTTTTTTAAAAAAACTAATTGAACACTATAAAAATGTGATCTTTTATCAAGAACAAAGTTTTTTCAAATTTTCTTGTTTCTGAATTCTGCAAAATAAAAAAAAAATTTAATGGCAATACACTGTAAAACCTTTTTTTTACAAAGGCTGTGATATAAGTTGCCATTTTGACAAAAAAATCCCAAAATTCAAAAACAAAACAAAATTTCATTTCATTGTCAAAACACGATCACGCTTTAATTTTTATTAATTATTATTTTCTGAAGACAAAAAGAAAATCGCTTGGTTGCATATTTTTTATTCACCTTGTATAAGGGTAAAAAATAAACTTCGCCAACTCTCTGGAACACGGAGTATAAATTTCAGTTATCAAAAATCAAAAAACAGAATTATAATATAATATAAAAAATAGAACAAAAATTAAATCAAAAAAAGCATGAATTAAAAAAAATCAATCTTTTTTAATACTTTTTGTTTATCAAGCATTAGACAAACTGTTGTCCAAATAAAAATTTTGCAAAAATGTGAATTAAAAAAGAGGATTAATAGTAGAATACGACAAAAAAATAATGTTATGATTTTTTGAAAATTGCACAATTCACTTTTAATAAGACACCCTGTATAATAAAAACAATAATTACATCAAAAGGTAGAGCTAAACCTTCGTTACAAATGTATCAAATTTTACTTTTCTATTATTAATGATAAATTTAATTATTTTTTCCTTTCCTAAAAAAAATAATAAAATCTAAAAAACCTACAAAGCATTTTGCAAGGCAAATATGAATGTGAAAAAAGTTGTATATTAAAATCAGTTGAAAAAAAAAGTTGAATACGGACCTGGAATTGGGTAAGTCGGAGACAGATGGCCCACAATTATGATGATTTATGTTAAACATAGTATTAGTGTATAAATATGTACATATAAAAATAAAAACAATAATAAAATAAAAAAATAATATTTTATTAATATCAATAATTTATATTTTAGTGAAAAATGGTCGTATTTAGAAAAAAAACTCTTTGAACAACACTTTTGACAAAATTTTTTTAGAGCTACGGTTATTACACAATCCTAAGAAATAACACTAGAAAGAATTTTCTCTCCCTAAAAGTTAAATATCTCAGAATATCGAGGAAAATATAAAAAAACAAATTAAAGCTAAATAAACTATTTGGCTCATGTATTGATTTGGGAAAAAAATATCCAAAAGTTTATATTATAAATTTTGTTCGCGTTTTTTTTTTATTACCGTAGCTCAGAAAATTATTCGCCAAAAAATGATAAAACTAAACATTTGAAGCTGCAAAGTGCTTTTTTAATTTATTTTTTACTTAAATACAGTCTGTTAAGATTCACTTTGTTTCTTTAATTTTTTTGAATACTGTATAATGAAAATGGGTCATTTTTAAACATTACGTATGTAAAATATTATGGGGAATCGATTGAAATCAAGTAAACTGCAATATTTTTAATAATTTAGAAGTTAAAGTTGAGTAGAGATTTTGACTACTTTTGTCTTTACTTGGAATTTTTTCAACAACTGTCTATTGTAGAACATGATCTTTTTGGCAAAATAGAAAATTTAAAGTGCTTTTAAACAATAATAAAATCAAGAAGGTTATATAGATAATAGTTTCGGAGTTATTAGCTAATTAAGAAGAAAAAATTGACCTAAATTTTAACAACAAAAACCGAGAAGTTGATAAACACTAAATTGAGTATTATTGACTGCATCTTACAGGCGTAAAATTATGTGAAACACCCTGTATAAATAATAAGTAATAAACTTGCCATCGCTAACTTGAGACAATTGTATTGTGCAAGAAACTAAAAAAATTCGATCAAGTTTTGACTCGTAAGCAATTTTTTTAAAGCGTTTCTTTATATTCACACATTCAAATTTATTTCCCCCGCTGGTCCATCTCTCCCGAATTTACCCTAATAATTTTAGTCGATTTTGCTTTCAAAAATAAAGTCAGTACATGCAATTATGAAAATTCCTTTATTTGAAAAAAAATAAAACAAATGTCTGTTTATGCAAAACCTTGTCCTTTTCTCTCATTACCACCGTCGAGGTCGCCACCGCGTCCTCGTTTTTGAACCAAATGCGTTCATTCTGCGTGGTCTCAGATAACACTCTATCTGCTCGAGTGTGATAAGCCGCGGGGGTGGTAAGAAACTCCCATTTACACTCGCATCTATACAGAACAGATGCCACATATGCGTTCGAAACAAACGATACCAACATCCGGCTTTAAAACACCATAATATACGCCATACACCTCATGTCACTGTCAAACGATACGTTCTCACGTGCAATGAAGGGGATTTACCTTCGTCGCTGTTGGGGACCGTCGTCCAGGCCTCGTCGGCGTCGAAATGGACGTCGATGCTGTGGCCGCCGTTGGGGAAGAAGGCGTGCGCCAAAATCACCCCTTTGCCATCAAAGGGGAAATTGTCTCCGTGATCGCCTCTGAAAAACACAAAAATTTTTCATTGTGGTTTGTGGAATTTTCTTTATTTCGCTTGAAAAACTATTAAATAACACCCTCATGTCGATATCTGTTATATTTTTCCGGAGTTTTTCCCCGACTGAAACTGCCAATATTCGTGTAACTCTCCTTTCGCGTCAATTAATTGCCGGCCTCGGGCGCCTCCTCTCAAGAAAATAAATCTTTGTCGTTTGTATTCCGGTTTGATTTTTCCCGTGATTTAATTAAGTCAGGTGTGATCGTTTGATTTTAATGATCATCAAAATTTGATCGTCCATCAATGTCGAACGACACATTTAACCTCATTTTATACGAAATGAAACCAAAAATGCTTCAAGTTTATTGGCTTGGCCGTAAAACAGTTGAATCGCGTGAATTATCGACGCGATTTTGATTTGTTTAGTTCGAGTGTAACTCTCCGGAGTGGTCCGGAGTGGCTTTCAGTTCCAGACTTGACAGATGTCGACCTGGATTCTTTCCAGAGGCCCATTATCGAAACGCTTTGTCGTCAATTTACAATGTTTACCTTCAATTTTATTAATCTGGGGGAAAAGGAGAGGCGGAATTTACATGGAACGTCGAGATTTATGCGGTTTGGGAAAAATCATCGTTAAATTTTCATGACGAAACCATTAGAGATTATTTTAGTGGGGACGCCAGATAACGACCTAATCGATTTCAAATTGACTATAACAATGACTGGATAAAATTTCACTGTTATGGGGGCACCAATTATTATGAGAAACGCCGCTTTTATGATTTTTCATAGAAAATTATTTTCCGGTTAAAACCGTATTAAAATTTTAATTAGAAAAAAAGAAAAATCATTGAAGCCGACCACAACATGGCAGTTCATGTAAATTTTAATGAAAAAACTAAACTGAACAAGACATTTTTTCGTTTAAATCCAGAGTGAAATGATATATGTAAATATAAAAACTCAATGGAAAGTCATCAAAAGAAAAGAAAAAAAAGAAACAAAAACTTAGGAGCCACTTGGATGCATACTTTATGGACTATGTTGTTAACTTTAAGACAATTTTAATTGACATATGAATTCAGAAAAGTAAAACCTTACGGACTATTTTAGATCTTTTTACCGAAAATTTCAGAAAAACTGAATTCAAGTGTGTTTTGATACAAATTTTTAAATATTTGAACATTTTGAAAAGTCAATAATAGAATTTGTCAGTACACCCTGTATAAATCTTCAATTATCAGAAATCAAAATTCAAAATAAAATATGAAAAACATAAAATTTTTCACAATTTTTCAATAAATCCAGAATGAAATGATATCAATAAAAATAACTCAACCAAAAGTTAATAAAAGAAAAAAAAAAGCAAAAAAACAAGTCCCAGAATTTGCAATACTTGCACACTTTACGGCCAATTTCAGTTATTCAATTATTAATGACATATAAATCCGGAAAAAATGATACTTTACGGACTATTTTGAGTCGAAAAACTAATTTCAAATGTTAGTGTATGTGATTTTTTTTAATTTTGTTTAAGAAGAACAAAACGAATAAAATTCAAGACATTTTTTCATATAAATTCCGAATGAAATGAAGTGGAAAAAACTTAACCAAAAATATATAAACAAAAGATAAAAACTGCAGAATAACAAGACTTAATCTAATACTTGCATTCTTTACAGACTATGTTGTCAACTTCACGGATAATTTCAGTTAATGACACAAATCCGGAAAAGTAAAACTTTACGGACTATTTTTGGTCTCTTTATAGATAATTTTAGAAAAACTGATTTCATGTGTTTCAAGAGCTTTTTCATACAAATTGTTAAATATTTTGACTTTTTAAAGGTCAGTAATAGAATTAACAATACTCCTGGTACACCCTGTATAAATCTTCAGTAATCAGAAATCAAAATTCAAAATAAAATATGAAAAATAAAAAGCGAACCGAATTTTTCTCTAAATCCAGAATGAAAAGATGTAAATAAAAAAAACTAAACCAAAAATCTTTAAAAAAAAGCAAAAACAAGTCTATCGAAATCATTTGCAATAGGTACTTGTACACTTTACAGTCAATTTCAAAAAAAACTAATTTCAAGTGGTAGTTTACGTGATTTAAAAAAAAAAATCTGAAACGATCAAAATTCAAGACGCTTTTTAATATAAATTCCGAATAAAATAAGATGGAAAAAACTCAACCAAAAATCTTTAAAATAAAAGATAACAGCAAAAAACAAGTTTCAAAATCTAATACTTGCATTATTTTTTATGAACTATGTTGTTAACTTTCCGGACAATTTCAATTAATGACATATGAGTCCGGAAAAGTAATACTTTACAGACTATTTTAGATCTCTTTACAGACAATTTCAGAAAAACTAATTTTGAGTTTACTAAGACTCAGATACAGATACTAATCTGTAATTATTTATTTCTTTTTAAAAAAATCTGAAACGAACAAAATTCAAGACATTCTTTCATATAAATTCCGAATGAAATGAAATGGAAAAAACTTAACCAAAAGTTTTACAAGAAAAAAAGGCAAAAAAACAAGTCTCAGAATCTCATACACGTACTTGCATACTTGTATTTTACGGAGTAAGTTGTCAACTTTACAGACAATTTCAATTAGTGACATATGAGTCTGGAAAAGTACTACTTTACAGACTATTTTAGGTTTCTTTAGAAAAATTAATTTGAAGTGATATTTTTTATTACAAACTTTTAAATATTTTAACATTTTCAAAAATATCACATCCTGTGAAACTTTTCAGTTATCAGAAATCAATATACAGAAAAAAATCAAAATTACTCTTGTTGTAGAAAAACAGCTGTTTGAAGCCTCGCATCTCTGTGAAAGTTCGAGGTTAAAAACATTTATTTTTCGCTTATTTTGGCAAGCCGTCGCGATGTTTGTCAAGTGCTGTGGTAAATTAATAAGGCATTCCGTCTTTGAATGCCGAACTTCCGAAACAGTGGTCCAGTCCCCGCCCACGCATGCATATTATTCTCTCAAAGTCAAACAACTCCTCCCCATTATTGACTCCCAAGTTGAAATAAACGCAATTTGATGAAAGTTGTAAATCTCTCACCTAACGAAAAAGATGAGTATATCCGCCTTGGAGCTGTCAACTTCCGTGAAGGTAAGTCTGGAATGTCTCGCCCAAACGTCCAAAGCTTTGGAAATGACGAGTCTTACTCGATACGGATCCATTCCCATCAAATCCCTGCTCCTCAAACTGTAACAACAAAAACCCCACATTAGAAACTCCCTCGAGTTAATTAAAGCAAACCGCACGAGTTTAAGACACGATTAAAACTGCCATTTGAATCAATTGGAGATGAGCGCCCCTATAATTAAACCATGTCATGGGAGGGTGGAAAAATGTCGATGATATCCACCCGGTCGCTCACTCAAGGAGGTTGTGATGGTACAGCAAACACATCACACCCAGGTTGAGTGAGTCACCGAGATAGATAGTGGCTTCATTTCACCCCCGGTGAAGATTTTTCCTCTGGTGATGAGCTCGTAAATCCAGCGCGAGATTCTGATCCAATAAAATGCAGAGCAAAGAGCGTGTATTGGCGCCGTCAATCTGTTTTAAGTGAATTGACGTCAAGTTTAAACATTTTTTTTCAACCGAGTGAATAACGATGGAGAATGCGGGCATTTGGTCAATTGAGGTTAAAATTAATAAACATAGAGACAACGTAGGGGAGAGTGGCACACAATGAGCCAATAAGTCACCACATTAAGAAAAAATCAACGCTGATTTGTGTATAGGAGAGCGAATTGCTTTCAAAACAAAAAACTTGCTTACTTACAAGGATTAATAAAAAAGTGCTATTTTTACACAACTTTATTGTGGGTTATTCTTTTACACGTAGTAATTCAAATAACTCTAAATGTAGTAGATATACAGGTGCGCCAGAACTCGCGCCCCAGAGAAAAATGTATGTAAGGTAAAATACCAGTAATATGGAAAAAATGTTAAAAAAAAATCTAAAATCTTAAATTTTTATTTCTGTTGGAAGTTTTTTTTTGCTACAGGTTATTAGAATAAGAAACAGGGTATATGTTATTTGTGGTTTTTATTGGCAAAATTTTGCCAATAAAATAATTATAAAAAAACATATACAAGATCATCAGTATAATTAAACAGAGAAAAAAATGTCAAATGTCAAAAAAAAATGCCCTGGTATCTTATCTTACTTGACACACCCTGTATTAATCATTAATAACATCATTAAAATTAATTATACAAATTATTGTTGTATTTTGGACAAAACGTCACACAAAGGTAAGGAATTTTATTGTTACAGTTGTCAATATGCGAAAAAATATGATTAAATAATAATTATTTGTATAGCAAGGCACTAACGTTAATTTTTTTTATCACGAATGTGAAGTTTATTAAAATGTCCATATGAGTGAAAAAAAACTTTAGTGCTGAGGTGTAGTTTTACGTTTTACACACACTTTACGGACTATTTTGTTAACTTTACAGATTGTTTTGGGTTACTTTTAGAAAAAAATTGTTATTTTGTACCTAAAATACAGTTTTTCCGGACAAGGCAAAGCAGAGTCTGAAATAGCAGATGAATTCGCAGAAACTTTTTAGGTACGTGTTACAACTTTTTGTTAAAGAATTCAAAAAAATCAATATTTAAAACTTTTATTATGTATGATTAGTATGATGGGAACAAATATTTTTCGAAAATAGTGAGCTTTTAACTATTTTGGTATAGGTAACAAGGTATGTATTATTAAGTATTTTGTTAATAAGTCCGAAAAAGACTCATTTTAAATGAAAAAGTGACTATTTTTGAGATCACATACTAATTTTTGACTCAAATATTTTAGATTGGAAATCAGTCTCATATGAATCAACTTGTGTAGAAATTACTTCTGAAATTTGCATTTTAATCTTTTTTTTATTTCGTAAGTATTTTTTAAACAATAAGCCGATTTAAAATCAGATTTTTTTCACTAATAAAAATTATATTGACTGCGAAAGTCTTAGATGGGGCATCCTGTAAATCATCCTGCTACAAGACAAATTAGACTAATTTTATTTCTTGTAAAAATAAGAATAATTGGTATAAATTTGATTTAAAATTAGGTACATAGGGGAGAGTGGACTAAACGAAACTACCGAGCCTCAGTTCTTAAGTGTATTTTAGAATTTTTGGAAATTTGAAATAAAAAATTACAGATTTTTTGACCTATCTGGTGCAAAAATTTAGACGAAAAGATGCTGAAATTGGCACTTTGCTCATCCTATAAACATTTTTTTTCAAAAATTTCAATTAGAAAAAACTGTTTACAATACCAGATCAGTTTAAAACAAAGTTTATCGCATAAAAAAGTGTTCTAAATTTAAAACCAGAGTTTTGAAAAGGAAAAAATTGAAATTTTTCGAAGATTTGAACCATAAAATCGCTCATAATAAACCACATTCAACTACACACATTTCATTGTTTCAAAATTGTCTTTTTCCTCATAGGATCCAGATATGTTAGTTTTCTTTTCCAGTTTTTGTATATTGTTTTAAACAAATGGAAATCAAAAAAGAAAAATAAATTCTAGTGACCTTGATAATATAAAAGTTGAAATTACTTAAAAGTTGACACGTGACATCAAACTACTTTGCTGCTAGATGTTCCAACCCGCAAATGCAAAATTCATGTTATTATTTTTTACGGGAAAATGAATAAATTCCCACACATTGAAAAAAAATGGATCAAAGATCGGTCCAGTACAAGCAACCGTCCCCTAGCGTCAGCTATTAAGTAAATTATTTAACACTTAACATCCAATTCCTCTCACATCATTATTGCAGCTGCTTGCCATTTAATTGCCAATAAAACGCCAAAATCGAAATTTCCCTCCGAATTTAACAGCCGCCACAATTACAATTTCCTGTATGTCAAACATATGTCTCAACAATGATCAAAATTTCCATCAAGAAATAAAACTCACATACCATTACGACGTCAGTCACGAAACCACTCGATTTCAAGCCCCAACACTCTTTCCCCATCTTCGAGGAGCTTTAAACTGGCGGCGCTTTTTGGATAACGTACTTTTATAAGCTCAGGAATTGCATGCGCGCGCAAAACACCCATCTATTGAGTGAACAAAAAAAACATTTTAATCGAATTGTGCTCCAGTGTGTAATAATGTAAGTCGGAAATGCGATATTGACGCCCCTAATTACTGAACTTTTTCCGATTGATTTTGACAAGGACTAGACACGTGTAGATTTTTGTTTTATCACGCGAGTGGGTGGCAAGACCTCATAGAAATTTCATAACTTGAAGAGATTGATTTTCAAATGAAGGAGGTACGAGGGCGGTTAGTCTCTAAAGTAGTACTTTTTCCGACTCATACAGGGTGATCCATGTAAGACTTTCGGCTGTTATTTGACAACGAATTTTTATGAAATTCAAAATGTAGGCAACTTAGAATTAATGTTAATAAATTACCCCAAAATAAAAAATAATTTTAACATAGATTTTCTGAATTTAAAATTAAAATTTTTAAGTCCTAAAAAATAGACCTCTACACAAAAAATAACTAAATCACTCATCTGAATCAAAAGAAATACTTACGGCGATTATGTTGTTAAAATTTTGACCTAATTTTTGAAAGAAGTTAACTCTAAAACAACGTTTCCAAGTACCATTTTGTACAACTTTGAAAATCTGTGGTAAATTAACTTAGAACCTTTAGAACTTTTATAACCATTGATGCCAATGGTGGTATTGAATTGGTTGAGAGATTTTTAAATTGAATTTATTATTATATTTGACAGAACTTTTAATTTAAACTTTAAAATGTTTGTCATTTGACGTATGCGGTACTCAAATTGCTTGAAAATATCTCAAATTGCATTAGTTTCGATGAAATACTGAAAACACTCGCACAAAATGCCCATGCGACAGCAAAATAGAAAAAAGCTCTTATGCTTTTTTTCCCTTACTTTTGCTTTGTTCACTTATGTTATTTGCTCTTTCTCTTTCTTATTATGCTCTTATGCGCTCTCTCTCTATCTCTTATTATACTTATTAGAACATGTTTTAAAGTGTTTTTAAAGGCTCTTATGCGCCCGCCATCTTTTATTGCTAATTTGAATTAGTATTTGAATTTGAAGTAGTGAAAAATTGCTGACTTTAGAGGGGTTCATGTCGGAAAGCGGGAACTTATGCCGCTACACCACCACGCCGCCGACAGTCTTAACGTTTTAATTCAATATGACAGACTCACACAAAATTTTTCAAAAATTTATTTTTTGCATTTTTACAACGTTTTTGTACTTTTCTAAGTCTCTTAAACCTGCAAGAGTGCAAATGGTTCAATTTTTAAGATTTTTGTCGAAATTTTGAGCGATTCATTGCTAATAACTTCAGAATTATTCACGCTAGTCCTTTTTGTTTGGTACCGTTGGAAAGCTAATTTAATTTTTTATCATATAAAAAAAAATAATTGTCATACGTTAAATAGTTATCGAGAAAATTGCTAATAAACAAAAAATATCCAAAGTTTTATTTCAACTATAGAATTTTACAGTTTTCTCGACGCCAATCGAATTCTTGGAACATTTTACATATGTGTACAATATAAAAAATGAAAAATTTGTGAATCTTTTGAAGTTATGACAACATCGAAAATAATTGTATACAAAATTCGAATGTTTAATTTGGTTGTTTCTAAAATATAATTTTAGTTTTATTACCACTACAAAATAATTTTGCCAGACTTTGTTTTGAGGGGGCCACTGTTTTTGTATCTTCAGCCACTTTTAACACAATTTTCTTCTGTTTTTCTTATAAGCGAGACCTCTTTTCAGGACAGATTTTTGCTTATGGCATTTTTATCGGCGATTAACAATAATTTGATAAAGAATAAAAATTAATTGAAGTTATATTTAGCTTGACTTTTAATAATAAAATACAAATAAAATAAATAAGTCTGCGGAAAAAATAAGAAACATTTTTATTTAAATAATATAGTGTAAAAAAAAACGTTTGTCATTTTACTATAAAAATTATTCGAATGAATTAGAGTACATTACAAACTAAAAATTTACAGTAAAAAACCACAGTTACGTAAAAATTAAAGTGAGAATAAAATTGGCAATTT